TAAAATATTAAGTGGAAGGGAACCAGCAGTTCGCGTAATGGCTTTCACTGGATTCCCACGTAGTTGACCGCGGTTCGCGTCCCGGACCCGGTGGCTTAAAACTCACACCGGGCACATGTGCGTGCGTGCCCAAGATCCCGAGAGGAGAATGGAGGAGAAGGGATTGCGGCATGGCCATCCCCCCTGGGGGGTGATTTCTCGCTTTCTGTCTCTATGTCTCTCTCTGGCTGGCTGGCGAGCACACGCGCCCTATAGTGAAAACCTCTCCAAAAAAAAAAATTAAGTGGGAGGTGCATCTGGAATCAGTACAATGTGATTCTTGTGTTGGAGATTCTTTTGGGTTTAAGCTAAAGGAAGTTTGCTGAAATCACAGCAGTTATTTGCCCTTTCAGCTTTCATTTTAGCTGTGCTTAGGGAAGTATGTACCATCCAGGTCAATACCAGCTTAATTTATCTTGAAAGCATTTAGATCTGTCACGATTATAATGACATTGGCTTTGAATAATAGAGATTAGGGGAAATTAATTTTGCTAAAATTAGGAGAGACAGTTTAATAAAGACTATAAGCAGAATATTTTTTAAAAAGTAATATTTAGTGACTTCAGGATATTATTTGGGAATTCTTAGCTTTAAAAAATAAGTGTTTCAGACTTACATCCCTGCTGTTCTTCTTCTCCCCTTCTCATTATATTGAACTTACTCGTGAGCTGAACAATCTGGGTAATTCAGAAAGTGCCCCCCAAATAGCATTATGCCATCCTTCATTCTCACACAGGTTCATAAAGACTCTGCTTTTGCAAGCAAGCAAGCATAAGCCATGGTTTTATGAGCACCCACATTCTATAGATCTAGTGCTATTTGTTTTAGTGCGCAAAGACCCCCAGTTTTTTTTTAAATCCTCTGATAGGTTAGTGAGAAAACTGTTGTTTCATTTTTTTAAAATCTTGTAAAATAGAAACATGTTTATGAAAAAGGTATAGTGGTGCTTTACAGACCAGACTGGAGGTACCGTCCTCTAGTTACGTGTATATCCTTTCACTTCTAGAGTATGGTGCAGGTTCTGTTTTTTTCTGTCCTTCACGGAGGTAACCAAATTGTACTGGGTCTGCCTGAGTCGGGTGCTGGCTAGGCAACAGGAATTATAGGTTCAACAGTGAATTGCTTGCAAGAGTGTGGGGTCTGACAAAGGGAGAGGTGTGTTACTGTGCACTGAAGTGATGCAGTACAGACATGTGTGAAAGGTTCTGGACCACAGAGGAAGGAACATGGAGCCTCCCTTTAAGAGGAGGTGGGAAAGCGAGGTTCTCCAGTGATCATTGCTGTGGGCTGAGTTTTTAAGAGTGAGTAGGAATTTACAGGCAAACAGAAAGGGTCCTTGGGCAGAAGGGCAGTGGCCAGCCAGAACTTCACTGGAGCTAAGGCCGTGAAGGACCTGGAGGACTCGGAGTCTGTAGTTTATCCTGCTGTCTAAGCTTCTTAGGAGTGTGCTCTGGAAATCAATGCCCCAGGAGATTCCTGGGGGGAGGGGGAGTTAGAGATGCACGGGAACTTTCCTACATCAGATGCTAAGAAGTGCTCAGGAAAGAAACCTGTTTCCTGTTTGTACGCAGAGTTGTTTTGGGAAGAGCTGCTGGTAGGCAGTGGGGTGCTCCTGAATATTTCAGTGTAGGAATGACTTCACTTGGTTTACATTTAGAAAATGAACTGACAGCGGTGAAGGTAGGTGGGAGTGAAGGGAGACATGGGCAGTTCAAAACTGTGACCATTTTTGGTTACATACAATCTAATTGTGGATATAAAATTGTTTAATCTCAAATGTAGGAATTTAGGGTACTTCTAAGAAAAAAATCTTAACAATGAACTAAAGTTTTATTTAGCTAATAATTTTAAATGAGAAGAGAGTTTGGGGACAAATACTAGTTTTTTTCCTGTCGATCAATGATTAAACAGAAATATTTTATAACAGGACTGGCCTTGTAGCCTCAGCCCACGTGGCTGATTATAATTTGAATCCTGAGCCTACTGGTTTGAAAAACATGCTGGACATGTGGTGTGTCCACCCTAGAGTCCCTACAGGATGAAGAAATGGAGGTGTGGCTGTGCCACATTGTGGGGTGCTTTCTCCCTCTTTCTCTGTTTTTGTATGTCTCTGGCAAACACATAAGCCCTCTGGCAATTAAAAAAATACTTTATGGGGCCAGCAGGTAGCATATTAGTTAAGGCACTGGACTCCCACGTGGCTGACCGTGGTTTACGTCCTAGACCCGGCAGCTTGAAATTCATGCCTGGCATGTGTGCATGCATGCCCAAAATCCTGAGAGGAGAAAATTCCCCTGAAGGGTGATTTCTTGCTTTTTGTCTGTCTCTCTTGCGGGTGCACACACCCCATTACCAAAAATCTCTCAAAAATAAATAAAAAAATAAATAAACAAAACTTTATAATAATACTTTCTGATTAAAGATTTCTGATTTAAATAGTATTTTAGGAATATTGTTACAAAAATGCCTTTCAATATGTCTTCTCCCCCCCCACTATAGGGTACATGTACCTCTTTGTAGAGAAATGGGGGCAGAGGTGGGGAAGTACAATCCCATCTCCTCCGTTCTCCTCTCTGAATTTTGGGCAGACACGCATGCACACATGCTCAGCGTGCTTATTTAAGCCTCTGGGCATAGGACTTAAACCATGAAGTCATCCATGTGAGATCCAGCTGCCTTAACCACCATGCAACCAATTGGCCCTTGATATGTTGTCTTAAGAGTTTAGATAAGAATGTTATAGAATTAAAAAATAATAAGAAGAAGGTCAGACCTTATTTTTATTTCTTCAAAGTAAAAGTTAAACCGAGAAAAAATAGTTATAACCTATATTACAAATAAATGCCTAATCCCCTCAAAGAACTCATAAAAAAGATTTTTAAAATATGGGAACCAGCAGTTAGCGTAATGGCTATGTCGCTGGACTCTCACGTAGTCAACCGCAGTTCGCGTCCTGGACCCGGTGGCTTAAAACTCATGCCGGGCACGTGTGTGTGCGTGCCCAAGATCCCGAGAGGAGAATGGAGGAGAAGGGATTGCGGCGTGGCCATCCCCCCTGGGGGGTGATTTCTCGCTTTCTGTCTCTATATCTCTCTCTCTGTCTGGCGAGCGCACGCGCCCTATAGCAAAAAACCTCTCAAATAAAAAAAAAAAAAATCTGACTCATTAATTTATAAATTGGCCAAAAAAATGAATTAATATGTTAGGTCATTGGGAAAGTCATGGCATATTTTTCTGTTTTTCAGTGCAAAAATGTTTCATGACTTTCTCAACGACCCAATGTTATAGCAAAAGAAAAACAAATGACCCTTATAGGAAAATACATTATGAGGTGTATGAAAAATAAATAAAAATTAGCCTTATTTTTAAAAAGACTTTTGGGGAAAAAATTGCTATAGGGCTCTTGCACTTGCCAAAGAGAAGGACAGAGTGAGGAAGCACCCCTCAATGGGTGCCGTAGTTCCTTGTGTCACAATTCTTTCCTTCCTTTCTGTCTCTTTTATGATTTTAGGCACACATGCACACACACCTAGTGTGATTTTTCAAACCTTTGAGTGCCTTTCTTGAACCACATAGTTGGCCATATATGGGATCCAGCTGCCTTCACCACCATGCCACCAGCTGGCCTGTCTTTTGCTTTGTAAAATACTTTTATTTTTAATGTACTTGAATATATCAATTTTTAATGGTATCTTGTTTTTGAGGCATAGTTAGAAAGGGTTTCTGTACTCCAAGGTCATAAAAGGAATTTACGGAGGCTTCATTATAGGGTTTTTTTTGGTAAGAATTATTTGCTTAATTTTATTTATTCATTCACTTACTTTAATTTGACCAGAGAGAGAGAGAGAGAAAGTGAGAAAGTAAGCCACCAAATCTGGGACTCAAACCATGGTTGGCCATGTGGGAGTGTCCATCGCTTTAACCACCACACCAGCTACCGGTCCCTGATATTTATTTTTAATTGTCAGAAGGCACGTATGCTCACAGAAAGTGAAAAAAAAACAAGAGAGAGGGAGGGTGGGAAAAAAGCACTCCCCAATGGGACCTGGTCACATCTCAATCCCTTCTCCATTTCTTTATCCTGCTGAGATTTCTGGCACTTAAGCTCACATGCCTGGAGTATGTATTAGGTCACAGGGTCAGTATTGGATCTGTGATTGGTCATATGGGATAAGGTTCCCTTATCACCAGGCTACAGAACCAGTCCTTTATTGTGTTTTTGTTTTGTTTTGTTTTGTTTTGTAGAGAGACAGAGAGACAAAGCAAGAAATCACTCCCAGGAGACATGGCGATGCTGCAATCCCTTCTCCTTCATTCTCCTCTCAGGACTTTGGGCACACATGCGCAAGTGCCCATAATGAGTTTTAAAACCTCTGGTTCCGGGACTAACTATGACTACATGGGAGCATAGCAACGTAACCAATACGCCACCTGCTGGTCCCTAATATAGAATTTTTGTCATTTTATGATTTACATCAAAATATTTGATCTATTAGGAATGTGTGCTAGCATATGATGTGCACTGTGAATCCAATTTTCTTTTTCCAAGAGGGTACTTTAATTGCTCAAACATCATTCACCATGTAGTCCTCTTCCTTGATTTTAAGGTACCATTTATCATTCTGCACCACTTATCATTTTCTCATGCATAATTGAGTCTACTTCTAAGACATCCGTTTGTCTCAGTGATCTATTTACATGTTTGTGCTGTGTGTTATCTTCACACTTTTATAATGTCTGATACTGCTTGTTCTTTTCTAATACTCTTGTCCTTTGGAATTTTCTTGAGTTATCTTCCTTTTTAATTCTTCCACATCAAAGATAGAATTGGTGTATTGATTTCCAGAAACAACCACTGTGGATTTTGGGGGGAGGGAGTTAGAGGGATCACGTAATGTTACAGAGGGAACGCTTTATGATAAGGGATCTAAATTGCAGCTTTATTATTTTTTTTCTTACAGATGATACTAACCGTGTTCTTGAGCAACAATGAACAGATTTTAACAGAAGTTCCTATAACACCTGAAACAACCTGTCGAGATGTTGTTGAATTTTGCAAGGAACCTGGAGAAGGAAGTTGCCATTTAGCTGAAGTGTGGAGGGGAAATGGTATGTATTAGGTTCTATAAAGATTACTGAGTACATAGCATTTAATATTTATATTGCTTCCAATTGTCAATCATGTGCAGCAGTTAGAACTTGAGAAATTATGGGACCAGCAGTTAGCATAATGGCTATGTCACTGGACTTCCATGTAGTCACGCCCCGGACCCGGTGACTTAAACTCACGCCGGGCGCATGTGCGTGCGTGCCCAAGATCCCGAGAGGAGAATGGAGGAGAAGGGATTGTGACATGGCCATCCCCCCTGGGGGGTGATTTCTCGCTTTCTGTCTCTCTGTCTGTCTGTCTGGCGAGCGCACGCGCCCTATAGTGAAAATCTCTCCAAAAAAAAAAGAAATTGAGAAATTATAAGCAAACAATTACTTGTATTGCATGGCATACTAGATTAGCCTCTAGGATAGCTGAAGTCAAATAGACAATATCAAGTGTTGATGAAAATATGGATAAATTGGAATCCTCAGACACTGCTGTTGGGAACGTAAAGTAATGACACAACTGCTTTGTAAAATACTCTAGCAGTTTCTTACAGAGGTAAACATAACATTACTGTATGACATAGCATTTCTCTTACTCATATACCTAAGAGATACAAAAAATAGATGTCTGCACAAAAACTGAAACGTGAAAATTCACAACAGCATTTTTTCATAATACTCAAAGAATGGAAACTATCTGAATGTCCATCATCTGATGAATAGATAAATAAAATGTGACATCTATTCAGTGGAATAGTCAACATACAGATTTGGGGGAACTACAGGTCAGCCAGTATTAGTCTGTTAATTTGGCCGATTATTACCCTATTTTTGCGATTCCTTTCCCTATACAGTTGTCAATGCTAGTACAAATCAGTAATGTAAGTAGATTCTTCAGTTTTCCCCTTTTATTAAATTTCCTGCCTGATTTTTTTTAAGAGAGATTTTTGTTACAGGGTGGGTACACTCACCAGAGCGACAGAGAAAGTGAGAAATCACTTGCCCAGCAGGGATGGCCATATTGCAGTCCCTTCTCCATTATTGAGATTTTGGGCACACATGCACATGCACCCAGTGTGAGTTTCAAATCTCCAGGTCCGGGACTCGAACCGAGGTCACCATGTGGGAGTCCAGTGCCTTAACCACCTGCTGGCGCCAAATTTTGTACTTGATTTTTAAACTTTATCTATGAATGCCTAAAAGTCTTATAGATTTCTATTATATAAGATGCTAATGAGGGAGGCCAGCCAGGTAACATGGTGGTTGACACATCTGGATCCCCCAACCAACAAATGGCCTGGTGGTTAGGACGCTGAACTCCCCACATGGCCAACTGCAGTTCAAGTCCTGTATTAGGAAGCTTGCTTTCTCACTTTCTCTTTCTCTCCCTGGTAAGCACATGTGCCCTATAGCAAATTAAAAATTACAATAATAATAATAATAAATAAAATTAAATAATTCTTTTATAAAAAGAAAAAAAAAAGGCAGAGGGATCCCACATGGCCAATTGCATGGCTTGAGTCCTGGACCCAGAAGCTTCAAGAATAAGCTGGGTGCATATGCATGCATGCGTGCCCAAAAATCTCCAGAGGAGAATGGAGAGGAAAAGGGATTGTGACGTGGCCATCTCTCCTGACAGATGCATTCTCACTCTATCTTTGCTCCCTATCCTTTTCCAGTGAACACTCATAGCCTATATCAATTTTTTAAGAGATGCTAATGAGCTTTATCATATATTACATAGTATGTGTAAGGTAGTTTTTCTACTTTAAAACAAAAGCAATGTTGGGACCAGCAGTTAGCGTAATGGCTGTCGCTGGACTCCCATGTAGCTGACCATGATTCGAGTCCCGGACCCGGTGGCTTAAACTCACGCCGGGCGTGTGTGCGTGCGTGCCCAAGATCCCGAGAGGAGAATGGAGGAGAAAGGATTGCAGCATAGCCATCCCCCCTGGGGGGTGATTTCTCGCTTTCTGTCTCTCTGTCTCTCTCTATCTGTCTGGTGAGTGCACACCCCCTATAGCAAAATCTCTCCAAAAAAACCCCCAAAAACAAACAATGTTTTAGTTTACTTTAAAAAAAAAAAATGAGACAGAGCCCCCTAGGGGGATGACTGTGCTGCAGTCCCTTCTCCTCCATTCTTCTCTAGGGATTTTGGGCACGTACATGCACCTGGCACATTTTTCAAGCTGATGATCTTAACCTCTATGCCATCTGCTAGCCCTAACTTTTTTTTTCAAGAGAGATGTTTCCTATAGGGCATGTGTGCTCACTGGAAAGACAGAGAGACAGAAAGCAAGAAATCATCCCCCTGGGGGATGGCCACACCACAGTCCCTTCAGATTTTGGGCACACACACACCCAGCATAAGTGTCAAGCCTCCGGGTCTGGGACTCAAACTACAGTCTGGTATGTGGGAGTTCAGCAACCTATAACATCATCCACTGGTCCCACATTTTTCATAGTAGAAATAATGATAACAATAATACTGATAATAATAAAATGAAACTTACTTTACTTAAAAGTTTTTTTTTTCTTTAAAATTTTGTAAGTTTGTAAATGGAAACAATACATTTCTGCTAAATAATTGGCTTGAGACAGTATGGAATTTAATTTTTATTACGCTTAGACTTGGTAGACTTAAAGGTTATAAGATGATTTTAATTAATAGGAAAATTTATTGACAGTGTTGATTAGTAAATCAATTAAAAGCTACTAAAACCACAAGCCAAACCAATATGAACAAAAATATGGCTTAAGACACAATTTTATGCAAAATTAAAAGATACATTAGGCTAAATATAAGTCTTGTAATAAAATAAAAAGAACAATACATGTGTTGTAGAAAAGTTTTTATACATCTCTGTATATAAAAAGTTTACTTTTGGAACTGAATATATGGAATGAAAGCCAGCATGTGGCCTGGAGTTTAAGGCACTGGATCCCACATGACTTACTGTGCGGTATGAATTCTGAGCCCAGTGGCTTGAAAAACACACCAGGTATGTGTGTGTGCATGCCCCAAATCCCAAGAAGAGATGAGAAGGGATTGTAGCATGACCATCCCCTTTGTAGGGTGATTTCTCACTTTCTCTCTTTGGTAAATGTATTCAAAAAAAGAGAAGAAAAAAATACAGAATAAAATTCTTTCCTTCAATGTTCAACTTGTGCTTATTACTGTGTTACTGTACAGATAGTTCTGAGTTGAACTGACATACATACAAATTTTTTTAAATTTGCTAGAGGGTGTGTGTGCTTGCCAAAGAGAGACAGAGATAGAGAGAGAGAGGAAGAGCAAGTGAAAAAGCACCCCCACGGGGATTGGTCATGCCACAATTATTCTCCATTTCTCCTTTCTGAATTTTGGACACGTATACACGTGTGCCAGACAAGTTTTTCAAGCCTTTGGGACTCAGACTGCACAGTCAGCCATGCGGGATCCAGCTACCCCAACCTCTGTGTCGCTGGCAGGCCCCATTTTTAACTAGGAGGCTATTTATATCTTTGCTCTTGAGGACTGTTAAATAAGACAAAGCTTGTCTCCTCACAGAAAGGCGGGAACAGCATGGCATGCATTGCATCTCTGTGAATGTCAGGGCTCTCTTTACCCGAGTCTAGAGTTTACATAGGCGCAGAGTAGTAAATCACACTGTGATTGCATGATTAAATTGCAACTCACAAAGTTCTCTCTTGTCTGAGCATCGAGTTCTCAGACTGAGCTGGAGATCAAGGGTAGGGACTCTCTCTCACCCAGCCATCGGTTCTGTTAAAGAGCTGGCTCTGTAGCTCTCCCAGGCGCTTCTCCAAACTTTGCAGCTTGGAACTGCCCTTCATCACTTTGAAGTTTAAACAGCAGTGGGAACATCTCAAGAATTCCTTTTTATTTCTTTGAATTGAGATAAAATTAATGTAACATAAAACTAGCAATTTTATTTTTTAAGCAATTTGTTTAATTTTATTTGTTTATTATTAATATTTTAATTTGGCCAGAGAGAGACTCAGGTGTGACTGTGGGGGGGGCGGGGGGGAGGGAGTAAGAAAGCAGTCTGCCAGGTCCTGGACTTGAACTGTATTTGGCCATGTGAAAGTCCAGCACCTTAACCACTACACCACCTCTGGTCCCCAAACTAGCCATTTTAAAATGTAGAGGTCAGTAGTTTTTAGTATATTCACATGTTGGACAGCCATGACCAGCACCTACCTTTCCCCATTCTGCCTGCCCCCAGCCCCTGGCAACCGCTGCACTGCACTACTTTCTGGTTCTGTGCATTGACTATGTAGGCAGAGTCATACATATCTTACTTCTCTCACTTAGCATGTCATAGCATGTTTCAGTATACCATTCTTTTTATAGCTGAAAAACAGTCCATTGTATGATTTATCATATTCTGTTTCTCTTTTCATCAGTTGCTGGACATTTGTGCTGTGTTTTAGTCTGTTTGGACTGCTGTAACAAAATACCTTAGCCTAGGTAATTTGTAAGCAACCAGAGTGTATTGCTCATAGTTCTAGAGGCTGACGAGGCCAAGATTAAGGCACTAGTAGATTGAGTGTCTAGTGTCTATGTTTCATAGACAGCATGTTCTTGCCATGTTCTTACGTGACATAACCGTGGGCCCTAGTAAGGGCACTAATCCGACTTAGAAAGCAGAGCTTTTACGACCCTGTCATTTCCCAAAGCCCCATCTCTTAATACTACATGTGGGGTATACAAATATTCAGACCATAGCAGGCTGTTTCCCACTTCGGGCCCTTATAAATAATTCTGCTGTGGGACCAGCTGGCGATGGCGGTGGTGGTTGAGGCAGCAGGATCCCCTACGACCAACTGCATGGTTCCAGTCCTGGACCCAGCAGCTTGACAAACATGCCAAGCACATGTGCGTGTGTGCACTCACATGCCCAGAACCCTGAAAGAAGGAATGGCCATGTTACCATCTGGGGGGGGTACTTTCTTACTCCCCCAACCCCTTGTCTCTATCTCTAGTAAATGCATGTGCCCCTGGCTAAAAT